TCTTTAAAGGTTGATAAAGGTGAGAAAGCTGCAGGAAAATGTCTGCAGTTAGGAGAAGTTGATTCATGAGGTTTAAGGAAAGAACTCTCAGAAAAAAAGATTTCCTTCAAATTACGACTGCTCATTGATGGTGTACCTGGTCACTCAAGAGCCCTGATGGAGATGTACAAGATTAATGTTTTCATGCCTGCTAACAAAGCATTGATTCTTCAACCCATGAATGAAGGAGTAATTTTGTCTTTCAAGTCTTATTATTTAAGAAATGCATTTTTAAAGGCCATAGTTGCCATGGATAGTGATTCATCTGATGGATCTGGGTGAAGTAAATTGAAAACCTTCTGGAAAGGATTTACCATTCTAGATTCCATTAAGAAAATTTTTGATTCATTGGAGGAGGTTATAACAACAACATTAACAAGTTTGAAAGAAGTTGATTCCAACCCTAATGGATGTCTTTGAAGAGCTCAGGACTTCAGTGGAGGAAGTAACTGCAAATGTAGTGGAAATAGCAAGAGAAGTAGAATTAGAGGTGAAGCCTGAATATGTAACTGAATTGCTGCAATCTCATAATAACACCTTAAGGGATGAGGAGTTGTTTCTTATGGATAGTTAAAGAAAATGATTCCTGAAATGGAATCTACCCCTGATAAATATGCTCTGAACATTGTGGAAATGACAACCAAGGATTTAGAATATTGTTTAAAATTAGTTGATAAAGCAGTGGTGGGGACTCCAATTTTGAAAGAAGTTCTGTTGTCAGTAAAATTCTGTCAAACAGCATGCTACAGAGAAACCTTTCATGAAAGAAAGAGTCAATCAATGTGGCCAATTCATTGTGGTCTTATTTTAAGAGATTGCCTCCACTACACCAACCTTCAGCAACAACTTCTCTGATCAATCAGCAGCCCTCAACATCAAGGCAATACCCTCCACCAGCAATAAGATTCCTATTGACTAAAGGCTCAGATAATTGTCAGGAATTTTTAGCAATAAAGTACTTTTTAATTAAGGTAGGTATATTACTTTTAGACACAATGCTATTGCATACTTAATAGACTACAGTATAGTATAAACATAACTTTTATATGCTCTGGGGAAACATTATTTGTGTTACTTGATTTATTGCTGTATTTGCTTTTATGCAGTGTTCTGTAATGAACCCACAGTATCTCCAAGGTATGCCTGGATATCACATCATGGATGAGGAAGCTTAGGCTTAAAGGTACCAAGTGACTGCACAGCAAGTTGTGGGCAAAACTTGGTTAAGACTCAGTTTTCTTAACCCCCAAACCCTATGCACATTCTCTTATAGCAGATTTCAGGCAGATACTAGGTGATAAGTTTGTCTTCATTCCATATTAGTGTCTCTGGCATCTAGAATTCAAAGAGGGAGGTACCTGTGTTTGGGTTGAGTATACCAGATTGAATTTCAAACCACAATTTCTTAGAAAATTGAGGCAGTGCTTCTCATGTGTCCAGGAACACCTGACTGCTCACTTTCAATAAATGTACAGTGAAAAGAATATTCTACTTTCTTTTGAGTGGAGTGAGACACTCAATTTCTAAGAAAGAAATAAAATATTTCCCCAGTATTTCACCATTTGGATGAGTTTCTGCTAGAAGTCGATATTAACTTTCCAAAGACAAATATTTTTACAAAATCAAAAGAAAAATTGCTATTGTAGTTTTTTTCTTTTGAAAAAATTTTTAGAAGTGTTCATTAAATAAAATAACCCAAATATAATTGTTATGTCCTGAACTGAAGTCACCATATGACTGGTTTGATTTATTTGTTAAAAATGAAATTACAAAATTTAAAGGAAAGCACATTTAACAGATTTTGAAAGGTTAATAATTGTTGACTATAGCAGGAGGTGATTGAGAAAGGGTTCAGAAACTATTTTGCATGGGTCTCTAAATAATAATTCATCATTCGAATCTGTCCAATGTGTTCAGCTTTCACAGACCAGCTTAGTAACAGAGCCAAATTAAAGTTGGCAACTTAAAAGCTTATTGAATCTTTGGACCAAGGGTTTTCTTGTTGTTTAGAATTTTTCAAAGACAGAATAATTATTTAAGGTAAGAAAGTACTTGCCCATGAAAATACGCTTTAACATTGTTTCTCTAAGAATAGGGTTCTATTTTAATATCTCATATTTCTCTTGTATCCTAGTGACTTTGCAGATATTCCTCAACACTCATTTTCCTGGTAAATTCCTTCATTTTACTTTGGCTCATAATAGATGACCTTTAGCTCTACAGGATACAGTAATTTAACTCCCCTGGAAGCTAATACTGATAGTACTATTTCCAATCATATTGTTCTTTGATGTTTACCTTCAAAGCCACCTCAAAGCAGCTAAAACAAAAGTTTTTACTTGCCCTTTCTCTGTTACTAACTTATTTTTTCTTAAAATATGCTGTTTGTTCATAATGTTAAAATAGAGAACTCTGTTTTATATTTTAAAAATGTGATTTACCTATCAAAAAATGCAATATGCATGAACTGCAAATTATGTACTAGATGTATGTTGCGTATAAAACATCATATTTAAGAATCCTCAAGAGTGCTATGTATCTCATTTTACTGCAAGCAGCACAGAGAAGGCAGATGGAATATTCAACACTCCACTTGGAAATCTCTAGCTACATCATCCAGTTCATTAGGTACTTTTTCTACTTTCTCCCCGTTAGTGCAGGCAACAGTGTTGCTAAGTTTCTGCAAGTATGTAACAAAAATTCCTTTTTTCCAGGATCCAATAACATTCCTTCACCACCTTAAAGACCTCCCAGCAGCCTCCTCAAAGATTTTGATGAGACTTTGAGAGTTTTCCTAAAAATCTCTTCAAGACCTCCAGTGCTTTCATTAACATACTCCATAGGCCTCCCAAGCTTCTTTCTACTACATCATCCCCAAAGCCGCTGATACATTTTGAAACTTTGGGTGCAATAACACCCTACTTCCAAGGACAAAAATTTGTATTGGTTATCTATTATTGTGTAACAAATCACCTCATAACTTAGTGGTACAAAACAACGATATTATTATCCCTCATACTCTCTGTGGATTAGGAGTTTGAGAATAGCTTTTTGGCTCTCTCCAGCTTGAGGTCCTTCATAAGGTTGCAGTCAGATTTCAGCTAGGAAAGCAACCATCTGAAGGTTACTGGGGCTGGTGGATGCACTTTCAAGGTGATTTGGTCACCTGGCTTGTGGCTGGTGCTGGTTGCTAGAAGTTACCTCAGTTTGTTACTGCATAGATCCTTCTCCAGGGACGCTTTAGCATCTCATGGCTTTACAGTGTTAGGAGATGACTCTCCATATGTCTCTCACATCTTGTGAGCAGAAGAACTTAAAATTTCCCTTATTCTGAATTCTCTTTTCACAGATGTTTGCATAGTAAACTGACTTGATTGATAAAGATAGTCCCCCTCTAGAGCAAAGGGCAAGGATTTTTCATTGGTCTCCTATTTAATGCTATCTCCTTAAACTAAGGATCAGGCAAGTTTACAGCACATTATAAAAAATTGAGTTTCCTAAGTTTGGGTGTGTATGTTCTTTAACACATACAGTACATGTATAGGCATCCCTTGTTCCACTTTGCATTGGCCTGTGGAAATTGGGGTTTAAAGAACTGAGCATGCTTAAACTTTGGTTACTTTCATTGTTTTGAGTAATCAGTTGACATTGACTCAGGGGTCTTGTATCTATCTTCTGTTAACATCCACAACACTGTGGCAAGGTAACTTGTTTGTTTGCAAGTAAGATAAAATCTTAGATATTTTCTGGTTCTTGATAGGGGACTGGCTTCCCCTAGAGTGAGTGATTGAATGACCAACAACCAACACAGAAGCTGAGATGACTTTTTGAATTAGCCTAGAATGTCACATATCATAATTTCTATAATGTTCTATTGGCCAGCCCTGATTCAGTATAGAAATGGACTATACACAATAGGGAATACCAGCAGATAAGACTCATTGACAACTATCTTGAAACATAGCTACCACAGCTCTCCTAAAGGGTGTAAAAACCTGAGCTCAGGAATAATACACTGATTATATTTATGTTCCCTGTAGAGCTCAAATTAGTGTCTTCATACAATACCCATGCAAAAAAGTATTTGTTGAGTATCATTATGTGGAAGAGTACTGAAGTTACTAATAGCATGTGAATTGAGATCAAGAGAATTAAAAATATAATAGTCATATTTCATTTAACCTTATAAATTCAACTTTATGAATTAAGGGGGAGAAAAAGAAACTGGTTTTCACAAAGCAAGGACCTTTAAACATAAGCAAATTACTTCCTATGATGCTCAACTGAAAAAAAAACAATAATCTACCGCTACTCCACAGAAAAATAATTTGCTGAACTTTTTTAGAAACAGAATTATATTCAAACCATGTTTATTCTAATTCATAAATGTTTAGTGAACTTTCATAGTTAATTTTGACTTAAGCAATCCATCCTCTATAAATGTATTTAGAACCTAATCACTGAAAATATCCCAACTGGACTCGGCAACATTTTAATGAAATATTAAGACAGGGAAAAGAAGAGATTTTAGTGTAGTGATATAGTTCATCTAACTATATCTAAATCAAACTGCCATCTTCGAGTCCTGCCTCATTTATGATACCAGCTCAGCTAACAGCACAGAATTCTTTGAAGCTCAGTAATTGAGATTTATCAAAAATAAACCAAAACCCCAGAAACCTGCCACCATCTTGGTGGAAATAATTTTCAAATTCTTATGCAGTTATTATATTTTCTGGCTTGGAGGCATAATGAGTTTAAAGCATTAATTAGGAACACATTCCATCCTTTGCCTCCCATGGTTAAACTGTTTAATTAAAGGCCTTGAAGCCTTCTGGGCAAAACAATCAGGCCGCGGCATGATCATCTCCCTCTTGTTTTCTTTGCTTCATGCTTCTTCATCTTTAGAAATGTAATTCATTTATTCTAGGACTGTTTGGCACTTTCCACTTAGCCAACAGTAGACAAAAAAAGTCAGTAGTAGTTTGGTTTTGTAGATTCTTAAAGAGACTAATCTCTGATGGTTGTAGACAGTCATTTATTGCATAAACATTTGTTGAGAAAGTTCCAGCTTAAGAATCCTGATACTGTGCTGGGTGTTTTGAAACAAGTGATAAATCTGATGTAGCTCCTTGTTTGCATCTAAAGGAGTTCTCAGGAAAGAAGGTGAAATGAGACAGAGACATTCCAGTCTACAACCCAAAGAAAAAAGAGGTAATATGCCATGGTAAAATGTTATAATAATGCAGACAGAGAAGAGATTATTTCTTGATAGGAGGAATTATTGTTAGGCTTTCTAATGATTTTGGACTTTATTCCAGGACCAAGAGGAAGGCATTTTCAAAGACTTTTAAAGATAAGAACTACTGATTCAGATTTGTATTTTAAATAGCTAACTCAGGCTGAGGTGCAGAGTTTGGATAGGAAGGGGTAAGAATAGAAAGAGAAAGATAAGATGGCTCCTTTACTAAGTTTGCCTTTGTTGCTGTTAGTATTTGCAGTCTGTCCTTTTTCTTGATAATCCATTTTAGACAATGACAATCTCTTCTGGCTTGACTCAGTATCCTCTTTCAAGTATCTTTTTGATTTTCACCTTCTGGTCTCTCACCTTGTGATCATACAAAGAAATGTACTTAGTTTCAATAAAATCAACACAATGGATCCACTTACTGCATGACTCCCCCAGGAGTGAAATCAGAGATGGTAAGGTGAGAAGAAATTAGGGAACATTACTGCCATTTGTCATTGTGGTGATTGTAGATTTTTCTAAGTTTAAATTTCAAGAGTGTGCATGTGTGTGTGTGTGTGTGCACATGCACGCATACATGTATGGATGCTCATCTCAGTATCATTGAAGCCATATACCAAAGACTGTAAGATTGGCCCTTGACTACAGGCATGGGACAAAGGAAATCAGAATTCATGTTCTAGACTCAGCAGTCTTAGGAATGGTAAACTATGAAACGTTTAAGTCCATGAAAATAGAGGAGAGCAGGCACTGTGTCCAAAATGAAAAGCCTAATTATGGTTCTGCCAAATGGGATGGATGTTAGAGAAATTTTCTGGAGCAGTTGAAGCTAGAAGAAATGAACATTTTTTGAAGAACATTTAAAAAAGCATGTGGGCACAAATGGAATTGAATGTATATTTCTACTTCCTCATTTGCTTTCTTTAATTTTTCTTAAAAAAGTTCTAAATTGACACATTGTAATTGTACATATTTAGGGAACATGATCTGAAATTTGGATACATGTATATGCTGTCTAATTATCAAATCAGGGTAGTTAGCATATTTATTCATCACCTTACAAACTTTTTATTTTTTCTGGTGAGAACATTCAAAACTCACTCTTTTAGCTATTTTTGTACTTTACAATACTTTATTCTTGACCATAGTTACCCTACTGTGCAATACAACACCAGAACTTATTCCTCCTAATTGTAACCTTGCACCCATGACCAACCTCTCTCCATTTTCTCTTTTCCTATCTCCTTCTCAGTCTCTGATAACTACTCTTCTACTGTCTACTTCTATAAGAGAGTTTTTCTACATTCCACATATGAGTGAGACCATGTGGTGTTTTCCTGTAAGTATCTGCCTTGTTTCACTTAATGCGGATGTTCTCCAGTTTTATCTATGTTGTTGCAAATGACAGAATTCATTCTTTTTATGTATGAATAGTATTTTGTGTGTGTGTGTGTGTGTGTGTGTGTGTGTGTGTACAGTATTTTCTTTATGTATGGTATTCATCCACTAATGACCACTTAGGTTTATTATATGTTTTGGGTATTTTGAATAGTGCTGCAATAAACGTGGGAGTGCAGATATCTGTTTGACATACTGATTTCACTTTTTTGGATATATACCCAGAAGTGGGATTGCTAGATTGTATGATAGTTCTACTGTTAACTTTTGAAGAACCCCCATAGAGTTTTCCATGTGTATGTACTAATGTACCTTGCCACCAACAGTACATAAGTCTTCCCTCTTCTCGACAATCCCATCAATACTTACTTTCTTTTGTCTTTTTTGTAATAGCCATTCTAACTGGAATAAGGTAGTATATCGTTGTAGTGTTGGTTTGTATTTCCTTGATGATTAGTGATGATGAGCATGTTTTCATATACCTCTTAGCCATTTGTACATCTTGTTTTGAGAAATGTCTATTTGGGTCTTTTGCCCATTTTCAATCTAATTGTTTTCCTGCTGTGTTGAGATATATACCTTCTATATTTAATTTGTTGAGAGTGTTTATCATGAAGGGTTTTTGAATTTTACAAAATGCTTTTTCTGCATCTATTGAAATAACAATATGGTTTTAGGCTTTCTTTCTGTTAATGTGTTGTATCACATTTATTGATTTACATATGTTGAACCATCCTTCCATGCCTTGGATTAATCACACTTAGTCATAGTGAATAATCTTAATGCGCTGTTGAATTTGGTTTGCTAGCATTTCATTGTGAATTTTTGCATCTGTATTCATCAGGGATATTGGAATGCAATTTTATTTTTTGTGTGTATCCTGACCCAGTTTTTGTATCAGAGTAATGGTGTCTTTACAAATGAATTTGGAAGTGTTCCTGCCTCTTTAATTTCCTGGAACTGTTTGAGAAAAAAATGGCACTAGTTCTTCTTCAAATTCATCTGTAAAGCAATCAAATCCTAGGCTTTTCTCTGATGGAAGATTATTATTACTGATTCAGTTTCCTCACTCATAATTTGTTCAGATTTTCTATTTCTTTATAATTTATTTTATCTAGGTTATCAAATCTGTTGACATGTATTTGTCTATAATAGTTCGATTTTTTATTTCTGTTGTGTCAGTTGTATGTCTCCTTTTTCATTTCTGATTTTGAGTCTTCTCTCATTATTTAAAATTTTGTATAGATAATGGTTTGTTTGTTTTGTTTTTCTTTCCATGAAAACAACTTTTCACTCATTGGTCTTTTGAATTGTTTGTAATCTCTGTTTTAGTTATTTCTTCTCTGGGCCTTATTATTTTACTGCATTCCTTATACCAACCTTGGATTTAGTTTCTTCTTGTTTTTCAATTTCATTGTCAAGTTGTTTATTAAAAATCTTTCTTCTTTTGTGATGTAGAAGGATATTGCTATTAACTTCCCTCTCACAACTGTTTTTGTTGTGTCCCAGAGGCTTTGGTATGATGTTTCTATTCTCATTTGTCTCAAGAAATTTTACCATTTAATTTCTTCATTGACCCAATGTTATTTGGAAACAGTTTGTATAATTTCCATGTATTTGTAATGTTTTTGTTTGCTTTTGATTTCTAATCTTATACCATCATGGTTAGAATACATACTTTATATGCTCTCTTTCTTCTTAGATTTGTTAAGACTTGTTTGTATCCTAGCATGATCTATTCTGGAGAATGTTCCAACTGCAGTTGAGAAGAATGTGTATTCTGTAGCTGTTAAACAGAGTGTTCTGTAAATGACTGCTAGGTCCACTTGGTCTATCGTACAGTTTAAGTCCAATGTTACTTTGTTCATTTTGCATGTAGATGATCTATTCATTTTTGAAAATGGAATGTTGAAGCCCCCACTATTATTTTCTTGCAGTCTATCTGTCCTTTTAGATCTAATATTTACTTTTTAAAGCTGGATGCTCTGGTGTTAGATGCATATATATTTGTATTTGTTATATTTGCATATATAAAAATATATTATTTATATTTGCTATATATTTATATATTGTTGAATTGATTCCTTTATCATTATATAATGACATTCTTTGTTTCTTTTTACAGTTTTTGCTTGAAGTTTATTTGATCTAATATAAGTATAGCTACTCTTGCTTTCTTCTAATTTCTATTTGTATGGAATGTCTTTTCCCATTTCTTCACTCTCAGTCTGTCTTTAATGGTGAGGTAAGTCTCTTTCAGCAGCATTTGGGTCTTTTTGTAAAACAAAAATACTTAGCTATTCTATATCTTTTAATTGAAGAATTTAATACATTTACATTCAAAATAATTATTAATAGACATGGATTTACTCTTATCATTTTTAGTTGTTTTCTAGATTCTGTGTATCTTTCTCTCTTGTGGTTTACCTCTGTGGTTTGAAGGGTTTCTGTGGTGATAAGCTTTTCTTTTTTTTCACATTTGTGTATATGATATAATTTTTTTCTTTGTGATTACCGTGGGGCTAACTTAGAGTCTTGTAGTTATAATAGACTACTTTAACCTAATAACAACTTAGCATGCATCTTAGAAAAAATACTCTAGACTTTTTCAATCTCCTGCGCAATTTATATTTTATTTACTTTAATTTAAATCTTCATTTATTGTGTGTTAGCCACTAATTGTGTCTGTTGATGTTTTTAACTATTTTGACTATGAACCTTGGTACTAGAGGATTGAAAGATTTACATTGCTCCATTACAACACTGAGAAATTCCATGTTTGAATACTTATCTCTACTTCTGAATTTTGTGCTTTCACATGTTTTCAGAATAGTAATTCTCTTCCTTTTGCTTCCAGTTGTAGCACTCCCTTAAGCATTTCTTGTGAAGCTGGTCTAGCAGTGATAATTCACTCAATTTTGCTTTTCAGGGAAGTTTGAAAGATACTTCTTCCCAGCACTTCCAATCTCTCACCTCGTTATCATCTGGTAGGCAGGTTTTCTACTAAGAAGTCTGTTTATAGTCTAACAGGAATTTCTTTATCTGTAAATTGAAGCTTTTCCCTTGATAATTTAAAAATTCTGTTTTGATAGTTTTAAGAGTAATGCACAACACACATAAAAGACATTTTAGGGTTGAATCTAACTGACAAACTTTGAGCCTCCTGAATCTGGATGTTGATATTTCTTTCAAGACTTGGAAAGTTTTCAGCTATTCTTTTGTTAAATAGGTTTTCTGTGACTTTCTCCATCTCTTCTCCCTCTAACATTTCAATAATGTGAATATTTGCTTGCTTAATGATATCCCATATTCTCTTCTTTGTTATTTTTATAACTTTTACTTCTTATTTCTTTTTTCCCCTTCTGACTGGGTTATTTTAAATGATCTGTCTCCAAGTTCAGGAACTCTTTCTTTTGCTTGATATATAGTTTGCTGTTGAAGTTCTCAATTGTATTTTTAAATTTATTCATTGAATTGCTTAGCTCTATGATTTCAGTTTGTCTCTCTTTTATGGTATCTATTTCTTTGTTAAATTTCTAATCTAGATCATCAGTTATTTCCTGGTTGC